ATTTATGTGCCACGGTTGTGAAGCGACCGGGGTGGTACCACCGGTACACTTCTCCACAAAATGGCACTCACATGGTCAAAATTAATTGGCCTTCATGATAGGCGAACAGTTGCTGCTTGCTCTATATATATGCATTTGCTTATTTTTTGTCTGAGAACTCCGCTGCTTTTAGTAACTATCCCTCTTATAAAGTTCTTTTATGTGCTAGTTCTCTTACCATTCCAAAAGCTTTCTCCCAAGCCTTTACCTTCCATGGCTTCTATGTCAAAACCCGTTCAACCAAGGAGAGGAGAGTTCTGCCTCTGCTTCGTGATCGGTCGGTGGTACACCACAAGTATCTGGTGAGCTACCCTCGAGGTGCTTTGTCACAAGGAGGGACTTCACGTTAGAGAGACCTCCCAATGTTCAGGGTCATCGGGAGCATGCATCGAGGTTTATTTCCTCAATAGGGGAGGAACACCTTGAGGTAGTTAGAAAAGACTGCGGATGGGGAGAAAAAGTGGTATTGTAAGTGCTTTCCCCGACAGAGAGCATCATGGCTCATGTCGAGGGGTATTTCAACATGTATACATACCTTTTTACGTTGGGCCCTCTCGATAGGGTCGTGCTCAAATTTTGTAGGAGATGTTGGGTTACCCTAGCATAGGTTCACCCGTCGTTTTGGAGGATAGTACTGATGGTAAGGTATTTTGCAGATAAAGCCGGGCTCGAGTTCCCCCTTAGTCATCTTCTTAGACTGTACCGGTCCTTGCATCTTTGTGGCCTGATTACTCTACGATGTCGATCCACTCGGCCATTTATTGTTAGCAATGGATAATATGGTGACCGAGGGTGGATGAGTCATTTCGTCCAAGTGCAGACTATCGATATTATCCCCGCAGAGTTTCTTCCATTTCCTGAGAAATGGAATTTCACACGTAAGTGGTACACTTGTGTTCTTATTACTTTTACCCATGGTGAAGGCGGACTCTGGAAAGATGCTTTCCTTTCCTTTTCGTTTTTCAGCAATCGCTTGGATGCCATACGAGGTTCTTGACCTAGCGGATTGGTCTCGGAAACTAGCAGCTTGTTCGACTTACGATAAGCATAAGTGGTGAGATCTGGACAAGGGTAGATGAGAGGCGAAACATCACGGTATGTGGTGTCATCGGCTTTGGGATCGAGGACCGACAACAAACAGAAGGGATCCTCAAAGGATGAGAGTGCTCATAGCGAGGCAAGACCTGCTCGAAGGCTCAAAGAAGACGTATCTACTGATCCCGCAGCATCTGAGGCTTCTAGCCTTGGAAAAGTGGTTCCTCTCTTGCCGCCGTATTCATTTCCCACCGAAGGTACTTCTAGGGGTACATGTGTTCAACCGCCATCCTCGCCCTCCGTCGAAGGTACTTCGAGGGGTGTTCGAGACCAGGGGCTGCCTAAATCAAGCAGGGTCTCGAGCGACCGTGATTCCACCAATATCGATTCAACTGGGGCGGATCAGGCTAGGCCAGCAGGCGCACACTCGACCTTTGAGGAGGCTCAACGGCTTTGTTCTATGGTAAGCTTTGGTCGACTTCGTTGATCTTCTAATTTTACGTTTTTGTTTTCTTATCAAGCCTTTTTTTCATAGGCTTTTGACAAGCTAAAGTCCGAGCTTCCCCGCTGTGAAGTTCGGTTAAGGAAAGCCTTGGATAGGGAGAAATCCTTAGGCTTTTTTGTGATAAAAGGGGTAAAGAATTGAGGCATCTTCGGTACGAGGCGAATTGAAGCCTGAACTATGAGAGTCACCTTGAGAAATAGGTAACCTTTGTTCTGAGGGAGTGCATGCTCCTTTTTCTATCCTCAGAGATTAATATTTTGATACCTCAGTTGCAGAGCAAGTCAGAGGATCTAAAATGCCTTTGGGGCGAGGTCAGCAAGGCCAAGCATGAGTGTAACGAGCTACGGGCTCAGATAGATGTCCATGTTACGGCCAAGAAGAATACTCTAGCCAAGGTTTCTGTGCTCGAGGTGCAGCTCCGAAATGCCAGTAAAAACAGCTCGATTCAGACGAGCAGTATTGCAAGGCTCGAGTTAGACCTTTTGGAGATGAAGGCCAAGGTCGTGGAGGCCCGGACTGAAGATGAAGAAATTTGGGCTAAGGCCAATAAGAAAGTGGCCATCTATTTAAAAGACGCTGCTGAGGTTCGAGAAACGTTGAGAGGTGCTTCTGATCGAGAGAGTAAACGTAATGAATATTCCCGGTGCAAATCTCGAAAAGTAACCCTCGAAGAGATTCATGGTAGGGGTTTTGGTCTCTTAGAAGAGATAGCATAGGCCAGGGCGGATGAATATGACACCAATTTTCTCTTGTCCGATGCCGAAGATAGTGGAGAAAAGGCCGATGGGGCTGTAGTCCCCGAGGAGAAAATAGACTAGGCTTTTTTCTATTTGATTCTTTGTACAGTGTTCTTAGAGAACTTTGTAAATGTAGCCTCGCATTGTTTTACACATGCGTATAAATAAATAAACCTTTCGGTTTGTAATTTGGATATGAGGCTTGTTGGGATGGCTCATAGACTCTTATGAATTGGGTCGGTACGACCTCTTATTATAGGCTGGCATTTGGGCTCTTACGCATTTTCCCTTCGGCGTTTTTAGTTAACTATTTTGGGCTCGGTCTCCGAGTTGAATTTCGACTCAAGCTCATTGACCCTTAAGTTTTTAAGCTGGACCTTAGGCTCTTACGCGTTGGGTCGGTACGACCTCTTAATATAGGCTGGCGATAATGGCTCTTACGTATTGGTTGGTACGACCTTTAATTTTAAGCTGGCGACAATGACTCTTACGCATTGTGTTGGTACGGCCTTTAATTTTAAGCTGGCAATAGTGGCTCTTACGCATTGGGTTGGTATGACCTCTTACGTAGGCTTTATTTTCCCTTGTTAAAGACTTTTTGAAGTTTTTGTGTTCGCCTGACTATTTGACGATTCGATAAGAACCTCGATTGTGAGCCGTTAGGTAGCAGTAATTGAGCCCTTTGGGAGGTTTCACTCGGTGACTGAATTGTTTCGAAACCTGTTGTTTGGAGCTGATATGATCGAAGCTCTTTTGCTTATGCCAAGGGTAGCTTGATTAACCGGTTCTTTTCGAAGTTTTTTCGAAGTAATTGAAGGCCTGTGATTTTGTAGCGACGGTCGAGCATCCCTGAGTTGCATAAGTTTGGCCGGAGCCTTATGACCGGAGTCATTGTGTTTGGCCGGAGCCTCAATCCCCGAGAGAAGTAGTTTCGACATCTATATCGAGGGTACGCCTTTTTAGGGGGCTTACAAGTTCAAATATATAGCCTTAACTTTAAGATCGGGATTATACCTTTTGTAAGGTCTTATAAATTTTAACATGCCTTACTTGAGGTCTTATAGACTTAGTTACTTGGTACAAGTATGATTCATGCCTTGCTTGAGGTCTTACAGATTTGGTTTCTTGGTATAAGTGTGATTCATGCCTTGCTTTAGGTCTTATAGGTTTGGTATTGCCTTATGATCTCGGGGTCGCCCGCATAGGGTCTTATAGCCTCGACTTTTCAAATCGATGGGGTGACAATCGGCGAAAGTCCCCGAGACATCGAAAGTCTTTTCAACTTTGGAGCCGCTTTTTATAAACTTGGTGTTGCCTCATCGAGGGCTTATGAGTTCAAAGTTTTTTGACCCGGAGGTCGAGTTCCTTACGTCAGTCCCCGGGTGTTCGGGAAATTTTTGGCTTTGGAGCCATTTCTTGTGAAAGCATCAGATTTCTTTGAAGTGTAAAGCGTTTTGATGGAGGAGGAAATATTCTTTGATTACTTGGCACACGTATACACGTTTTTGCCATCAAGGGCTCAATTATTCTATGAGAACACGGTTCATTTGACCGTTTAGCCCGGTACATCGTTTTCCTATCGAGACCCTTTTCGGCTTATATTGACTTCTCCGAGAAGGCGATATTCTGGGGGGATGCCCCGTATTCGAGGTTGATCAAAGAGAAGCCTTGAATACTTGTTAGGTTCTCCTTAGGTAGCATATAGATGTTTCCTCGTTAAAAACCTTGTCAGTAAAACCCTTCTTGGGATAAAACCCGATCGAAGGAAAAAAGTGCAACATATGCTTTGAAACCTTAAGGTCTTTGAGCTAGAGGGTGCTTCGACTTTTTAATCGGACATCTGCACAAAGGTTAGTGTGAGATGTAAATAAAAAGGGAGATGGTCATACCTTATTGGTGATGACGCGTCGAGCCTCGATATTCCTTCAATGTTTGTTCCGGGGACGCAAAACGGTCCTTTGCTTGTTTTATTCGGGTATAGATGAAAATGTGTCTCGTTAGTGCTATTTCATTGTTTTCTTATCCTATGGATCCTTCGATGTCGAAGGTGTCGATGCTAGTGCTACGTCGTGTACTACAACATCTCTCTTTATGTGTGCTATTCTAAGTACACAGTATTTACTCCGTCTTGTCGGAAACTTCATCATTTGATGAAGGGTTGACGGTACTGCTCTCATACAATGTATCCATACCCTTCTGAACAAGGCGTTGTACCTCATGTCTCATTCGATGACATGGAATTTGACATTTTGGGTCGTGTCGGCCACGTTGACCGGGAGGGTGATTTCCCCTTTAGTTGTTTCACTCACCATGTTGAATCCATTGAGGACTCAAGAGGCGGGCACGATCTGGTCGAGCAGTTCGAGCTGCTCCATGACCCTTGACCTGATAATATTGGCCGAGCTACCTGGATCCACAAGTACACGTTTAATTTGAAATATATTTATAAGAAAAGAAATTACCAATACATCGTTATGAGGCTGGGACAAGGTCTTGATGTCTTCATCGTTGAACGTGAGAGCATCCTTGGTTATGTAACCTCGAGTTCGCTTTTCCCTAGTGATGGATTTTTTTGTTCTTCTGATAGTAGGTTCCTGTGGGATGTCAACTCCTCCCATGATCATGTGGATGACATGTTGCGGCTCATCCACTTAATTTTTCCTGTTCGCCTCTCTTTCCCGGAACTAATTTTTGGCTCGGTAGCTAAGTAACTCTCGGAGGTGCCCTTTGCTGAGTAGCTGGGCTACTTCTTCTCGGAGATATCTATAATCTTCGGTCCTATGACCGTGTGTGCCGTGAAATTCGCACACTAAGTTGGGGTTCCTCTGCGATGGATCTGATAGTACAGGTCTTGGCCACCTGGTGTCTCTGATTTTACTGATGGCGGATATGATGTTTGGAACATCAACGTTGAAGTTGTATTCCGATAGGCGGGGCACCTCCATTGGTCCTGTGTGCCTATTGAATTTGACTCTGCTCACGAGTCCTTGAGGATTCTGACCTTGGTCTGTTCTTCGATCATTTTGGGTTATGTTAGGCCTTGGGGTGTTTCTCCTATCTTCAGTGTATGGTTGGTACCTTTCCTTGTTTGTCTTTGGCTCCATTGTCAGGAGTCTGCTTGGATATACCAAGCCCGAGGGGGCTCCCAGTTGGTTGTCCTCAACCCTAATCTTCGACTGATATCGATTGTGGACATCTGACCAAGTCAGCGAGGTATTCAATCAAATTCTTCTTCAGCTGCTTTGAAGCCACAACTTCGCTCATTCAAGCCTTGGGTGAATGCCTGCACTGCCCAGTTATAGAAGACTGGTGGTAATTCCATCCGCTCCATTTGGAAGCGAGATATGAATTCCCACAGCATCTCATTTTCACTTTGTTTGATTTTGAAGACGTCGGACTTCCTTGTAGCCACCTTGATGGCACCGGCATGTGCCTTTATGAAAGAATCTGCCTGCATGGCAAATGAGTCTATTGAATTTGGAGCTAGTTTGTGATACCACATCATGGCCCCTTTTGAGAGTGTTTCCCCGAACATTTTTAACATGACAGATTCGAATTCGTCGTCCCTCAGGTCGTTGCCTTTCACCGCGCAAGTGTAAGTAGTGACGTGCTTGTTGGGATCTGAGGTTTTGTTGTACTTCGGAAGGTCGCGCATTCTGAATTTCTTTGGGATGGGCTTTGGAGCGGCATTTGATGAGAATGGTTTTTGTACGAATTTCTTCGAATCAACACCCGTCAAGATTGGGGGTGCACCCAGGATCTGATCAACCCTCGAGTTGTAGGTCTCTACGCTTTTGTCGTTGGCTTCTATCATCTTTTTGCCCAACTCAATCCTCTTTGTGAGGTCTTAGAGCATCTTCATAATAGCAGGGTTGGCTGCTTACCCATTGTTTCTCGATCTTTCCAGTACCTGTTCGGCTCGAGGAGCCGTTTCCTGTGCTTGGAGTTCTTTGATGGCTTTGCAGTTGAGCAATCACCAGCTGTTGTGCTTGTAACATTTCAAAAATAACGCGGAGGCTAACCTCTTTTTCCTCCCAAGCTAGGGTTTTCTAAGCTTCTTGTTACTCTCATTGTCGTACGCTCCTATTAGTGTAGGAGCTTATATCGACGTGTTGGGCGTCACGTGAGACCACATCCATGGGGATTGGCTCTGGTGTGTACTCAGGGTTTCGTGGTGGTACACCAATACCTGGATTAGCTACGCCATTCTCTCCATGGTCTTCAAGACCGTTGTTTTTATATGCATTTACTGAGTTAGACATTTTGACCTGAAATCAAAGATCCTTGGACAAGAAAAAGCGTGAAGGATGACTTGCGTTATGTGTTAAACCAACAGGTAAACAATCACTATTATTTTTAGCCCCATGGTGGGCGCCAAATTGTTTACCTTGAAATTGGTAATTATAGTTAGATTTGATTTTGTAGTTCTAAAAATACGTGAGGTGTTTTTATGCTAGTTGTTAGGCAGTAGATGCTAAGTGTGAGACTATAAAATAAGACAAGATCTTGAAAGTAATGCGTTAAGGAAAACCGAGCGGCTAAGAATCCGTGCCTCGAGCCTGGTTATAAGAGACCTCGAGGTCGAGCTCGATAATGAGCTGTGGATATCTGATGAAGGAATAAATATTTTAAGAGCTTTGATAAAGGCTCTTTATGACCAATAATGAGCAATAAATGAAGAACAATAAATAGAATGCAATAAATGTAAGCAACAAATAATGAAATTAAGGAAATATGTTTAAGTTAGAGAGCAGAGAGAATGTTCTTGTATTGAATGTTGTGAATAATGTCTGTTCTGGAAAAATCCCCTTTAAAAAATTGTCGTGCCCCCTTTTTTCCTCCGTGGAGAAAGTCCGGGTTCCTACGTTCATGGGGGTAATAACTCGTTTCCTTTTGGGAATTGGGTATTTGAAGAGTCGCCACCTAATGAATTAAGGTGCGTTAGGGCACCTAGAGTAATTAACTCATGCAACTAGTTTGTATTACCAAAGATTTAGGGTAAGGGCTCAAAATAACCTTAAAGGGAAGGTGTTAGGCACCCGTCGCAGTCCACAATGGTTGGTCCCAACCGAACTTAACTTATGAATTAGTCCATTAACAAATAAATTGTTTTTAAACACATAATTTCAAGTAAGAGCAGGTTGGATATTGTATGACTCAGATAATAGACAAAAGATTTGAACAAGTTGTGTACATATAAAACAAAGTTTTAAGCAGAAGGGATTTTGGAAAGGAGGAGTCATAGGTTGGTTAACCTACAGGATCACCCCACACAATGTCCGGTAAACACTCCTCAATGGGGGGCTACACGTGACATTAGCACGTAGTTATCATATCCCATATATACCTTTCCCACCCTGTGATCATAGCCTAAAGCATTCTAGTAACCTTAACAATGCCTATGCGTGCACTACCCGCCCCTTCCTTGTGGCCCTGGAGGTATTTTAGGACCTCTAAATCTGGGCAGTTCTAGACGACCCCTAAGGTGCTTAAAAAGGAGAAAATTCTAGGCGATAGGCAAGAACACATAGGACTTAACAGCTAAAATACAGAAAGAGAGAGTTAAAAGGCCCAGGTTTACGTCCACACGTAATACACGTGGGTATCACGTCTCAAACATAAACAAGATTAGTTTTTTGGTTTAGAGAAAAGGCCTAAACTGGACGTCTAAATGGATGTCAATGCATAGAAACATGCAACCTTATTTTGTAAACTCAACAGTAAGGCCCTAATTAGTTTTGCCTACTAATTTTAACCCGTTAAATCTGAACAACTTCAAGTAGTAGAGATACAGTTTCAGAGTTACAGGATTTGAAAACGCCCTATAGGCTTGCCTAAACACTGAATAGTGATGTCCTAAGAGCATGATAACTACGTTTGATATAGTAAAACAATGGGCAGATTTTTAAAAAATGGACTCTTGAATTCCTATAGGCATGCTTTCTAATAGTAAATTAGAGCAGTACTTGAAAGAATACATTTCAGGCAAAACAAACCACTGATTAGACCAGTTTCGAAGTAAACTAATCATGAACTGGATCAACTTATTTAAACTAAACTGATTTTTAGGTCTATAGGCAGAATTTTTGATGTTGTTCCCTATGAGCATGATATCTAGTTGTTTAGAAACTTATAGACATGATTTCTAGTGGAAATGAATGTAAACAACTATTGGAACACAAACTTGAACTTGATCACATGCTTGAGTATGATATCTATTTGTGAAATTGATTGTAAAACCTATAGGCATGATTTCTAGCATGGTGAGGCAAACATAGCAAATATGAAATCCTATAGGCATGGTTTCTAATATTGTAGGGCATACATAGCAAATATGAGATCATATAGGCATAGTTTCTACCCATATCACCCCCACAAACACATAACTACCCACCCCTTTTACTAATCACCCCAATATTCGTTTACAAATTATTACAAACCAGATGAATGAATTACATAGATAAAGAAAAAGAAGAAGTTACACTATAGGGAGCCTGAAGCAGGCCCAAGTGATTTCCCAAACCTCCAATAGCCTCAAATGCCAATTTCATAGACAATATCATTGTCTAGGTGCGTCAGAGTTCCCTAAGGATCTCAAAGATCCCGAGCAGTGCTCACACCTAGACTTTGTAACCAAATTGAGAAAGTACAGCGTGGAAGGGCCAGCCTCAATGTGCCAGAGTTCAGAGAGATCTCAAGAGGATCCCAAGGCAATACACACACTAGAAGGGGCAGAACATAGGGACTTAGGAGTAGAGTGAGAGTGCTTGACATAATTTGAAAGGGTTTTGGTAGGAAAATAGTGTAAAATAGAGACTTAGTTGAAATAACTTTGTAAGCAAAAGAGTTTTTGGGTAAACAACTGTGAGCACGTGATTTTTGCCTCACAAGAACTACTCCAAAAGAAATCACAAATAATTTTTCTTTGTATACAATTTTTAGAATTTATGTGGCATTTTTTGGATAATTATTTGTGTTTTGTCCGTAAATGTTTACTTTGTTATAGTTAAATGAAAAAATAAAATAAACATACATGTTGCATGCATATCTAGGATTTAATTATGCATTTAAGAATTAATTAAAAAAAAAAGAAAATCACAAAAATATGCATTTATCCTATTTTTGTCATTTAAATGTGTCATTGT